CCCCCCCTAAAAAAAAAAACTAACAAAAAAAACAAGGGGCTTTGTGATGCGAAGGGTCCTCAGCGCTGCCAGACACTAACGGACCAAGCGACATACTGTACACTCAGCTGAACAATACACAATTAATGCATTATTCCCCACTGGAGACCCAGGAGGTCAACAAATATTTCATCAAGGCGAAGCAATGAGACTGGAATTTAACACCGAGACAGGCTGCATGAGAAGGTGTTAGCACGTATTCAATTTCTCATTTAATGGAAACATTTTATTTAATTTTGTGTGTGTGTGTGTGTGTGTGTGTGTGTGTGTGTGTGTGTGTGTGTGTGTGTGTGTGTGTGTGTGTGTGTGTGTTGAAAGGGGGAAAAACTGCATCTATGGCGAATTTTTTCGCCCTCCCCGGTGCTTTTTACTGTTTTCGAATTTTACCCCAAAGGAGCTTCAACAGTTTCAGTAAAACACAAAAAAGTAATTTAAAAAAAAGACGAAAAAATGAATTTAGATTTAATATATGAAATGTTAAAGTTTTATTATACAAATATCTCAACATGTTTCAACTGTTTGTGATTTACTGCGCACTTTTTTAGTCAAATCAGTATTTTATCGTGATTCTTTTTATTATTATTATTCATTCATATTATTAAAGTGACTTGGCTAGATCGAAAAGCCCTCGTGGTCTGATTTGTAAAAGTTACTCCATAGAGATATTTAAATGCGGTTGTCAGTTTCCCCTGTGATCTCAGCCGAGTCAGACAGTAAAAGCAGATTGAAACCTTGTGCTCCTTTCAGTGACTTTGCACGTCTGGTTTGCATTACTTTTTTTTATAAGACCTCAAACAAATCGAATACAAGTTCACCAAATAATTAACAGTTCTCAATTCCCATATTCCTCATTAAAGTACTTTCCTTCTTATATTTAATCTCATCCCTGCCAACGACAACATCCCCCTTAAAACGCAAAGGGGACTGTCAGTGACTGACTGCAGGAATTATTTTGTTATTTTTGTAGACAGTTAAAAAAGAAAGTTACAAACTTTTCTTCATTTGAGTATTATACACAAAGCCAATTTTTTTCCATTATGCGTAACACGCTTGACGGCGGATAATTGGGGGAGAGTGCGGTAGATTTTATTGCGTGGTTAAAGCCTGCATCCTGTGCACTTTTTTGTGACCTTGTTGGTTGTATCTGAGCAAATGCAAAACATGTTTTTGTCATCTATGCCTGTTTAGAGAGAGGGGGGATAGAGAGAGGGGGGATAGAGAAAGAGAGCGAGAGAGAGAGAGGCCAGGCTGCACCATCTGCGCTTTAATGAGTTACCCCAAGTGCCAAAAGTAATTTTCAGAATCGGGTTATTCTTTTCTGATCTTGCCTTTTCTGACCTCCAGGAAACACCGCCTGGTTAATAAGCAAATTTCATCTACCTAAAAAAAATGTAAAAAGTGTGAAAGCAAAAGAAGCTACAGGTCTTTAAAAAAAAAAAAAAAGCTATCTCTGCACGCATGAGTCATGCGCAAAAGTTACTACTTTCCGCGTCAAAAAGCCTTCCCCCGTGTTTCCTGATGGAGGTGATTCAAATAGGGAAATGTCCCAGCTGAGGTTCATTGTGCAGGTTAATTCAGTGCAACACTTTAGGGATGCTGGGAGGAATCCCAGAAGTAACCGAAGGTACTTGAGCTGAAAGAACGGAAAGAAAAATAATTTTCCGTAATTAAAGTGGCGGTGGCAAAAAAAAGAATACAAACCACTTCACAGCGACGAAACTTCCCTTTCGATTTTTTCCTCTCTCGTCATTTTTTTGGTGATGTGCCCATTGTGGCCGAGTTGGGTCATTATGGGAGAATAGACAGTGTTTGATATGTTATGACATGAACACTCAATTAGATCACCGAGTTCAAATACTCCAGTCAGCCGTTCGATGCCAAGCAGCTCTCAGAGGGTCCAGCTCGGGGTCACAGCTAGTGACACATCACATCAAAATCACAGGAGAGAGTGAGGCGTTTTTCCTATCAAACCAGCTCACACTGCAAGAAATGGCTGCACGGACGAGCAAAACAAATTTACAATCACCCCAACAAAGTCTCTCTCTTTTTTTTTGTTTTTTTCTGTCTTAAAAAGAACACGAGCGTGAGAGAACCGCTTTTATTTTCATTGCGCATTTTTGGTTGCTTTCTATGAACTTGAAATACATCTATTTAAAAATAAATTTTCTTGACAAGCGAAGAAAAACATTTGATTATTAGTTAAATCATTTCAATTGCGCATCATTGGGGCTGATATGCTTCCACGGAACAGCTCAGGATGGACATTTTTTGCAGCGCGCAGTCTGCGTCCTGGAGCCGAGGCTCGGAGTGTTTCAGACAGGAGGGGACGCAAACAAAGATAGCTTTTATTTCTCCCTCAAAGATTAACTCGGCGTATGTCCCCTTGTGTGTGTTGGATGTGTTAGTGTTTATCAGATTGTGTTTGTTCTCGCGGGCCGGTCAAATCACTTGGTTACACACGTTAACTGAGCCAAACACCTGCTTCTCACACCGACCCGCTTCTTCCCCCGGCCCTCCCAGCCCCTCTTTGTCAGAACAAGTTGGTCAAACTGGGCACCATGAAGGCAACAGATTCCACGCTTTAATATATGTGGGACTGGGGTGCTTGCGTTTGAAACTCGGATAATTATTTAAGGATTCTTGGGTAAAAGAACCGAACACGAAACTCACAGCAAGTGTTTTAAGTTGGGGGGGTGCAAAAGTTCTCTGTGTTCACGTGGAGGTTGGGAGCGGGGATAGCTTTTGCTACAGCCTGCATTGACAGTGATTTACAGCTTTCATCTAGAGAGCGCCTCAATTAGTGTTTTACTGTCGTGTTGCCCAGAGGTTAATTTAAGTGTAATATAATACTCGAAAGAAAAGTTATATGTTTCAGTCAACCGTGGGGAAAACACATCCAAAAATAAATAAATAAATAACCACGAAAATCTGCGCAGTGTTCAGGAGCAATGAATAAACCTGCAACTTTCAAATCTTTGCTTTTGTTCAGCACATTTTTTAAGAATCTCACTGGATACTGTGTGCGTAAAAGTCCGCCTGCACGGTGCTTTAAAGTGTGCGTAAAAGCAGCTTGTTCTTCACTCGTTATGCGTTACTGTCATTTCTTAGCAACATTTTAACAACCTCTACAAGGAGAATATTAAACCCGTCTGAAGGTGGGTGGGGGAGTGGGGGGGGGGGACTGTGCCACAAAATTATGCAAGACTGAGCTGATGGAGACAGCAGCTGAAAGAAACCAACCTGTTCCTCTGTCCACAAAACTTGTTATGGTGTTGGCAGATTTAGAAGAGCGGAAAAAGCTGGCGTTTAGTCCGAGTTTCTCTGCAGCAGAGTATGTCCTGTATATGGAGAGCATGTACTCATGCGGAACAATAGCGTCCTTTAGATCTTCTTTGTGGTGTCCCGCGACAGGATGAGAGGACGCGAAGATGTCTTTTAGGAATTTGGAAGAGCTTTGTCCATCCTGGTGTGGGATCCTGGCACCCCTGTTCCTCCTCGGCGCAGAGGGAGAGATGATAGCAGCAGACTGGAAACACGGTATATTCCCAAGGAAAACAAGGAGGAGGCCCAGATATATCGTAATGACTCGAAATGCGTCCATGGCTGGAACATTCACCGGGAGATGTTAATAAACTCAATTTTTTCCCTCCCCCGCGCAGTGAAGTTAAATTCGAGGAGCTGCGTGAGCCAGAGATGGTGTGCGCTTCAGGGTCTGAGAGCAGCTAACTTTTGCGCTCTCCGGCCGCACCAGAAGAAGTGCGTTTTTCGCTCTGGACTCCACACAAGAGCGGAGACTGTTGGGCCGAAAAGAAACACGCCCACATGGTGGCTCAGTGCAGGGCTTCCCAAACAATTTTATGTCACAGACGTACTATAAAGCGTGCATGCTAGAGGACAGAGTGAAAGGGGGAAATAACAGTGTGGGAAGGTTTGGAATGTTTTTTGATTTATCAGTGAGTACAATGCGTGCACGTGAGAAATCTGATTTACTGTGAATGCCAAAAACTCGAGTTGTAACATTTTTGACATTTCTGTCTGTAGCTTGGAGCTCTTTTAAGGTAGTGGATTCAAAATGTAACGCAAAGTATTTACACGTCTCTGCTATTAAATAGTGCAGCTATTTTCTCTGCAGCACAATTACCCATTGCATGGTATGGTCTCAAACACAGAGAGTGAAATGTTACAATTAACCCCATAGTCTGTGTTAGTTGTAACATATCCTGGGGTGAAATGTAACACAATGAAATAAGGGTACTGACGAAGTCTTAAAATGTAATCTTTTTTATTCAACACCTGAATGCGCTTAGATCTAGTTATGTAGCTATGTGTGTGTGTGTGACAGAATGCAGAAATCTAGCGTTTGAACATATACCAACCCCTAAAAAAAAGACAAATTATGGAATTTTCAACAACTGAAAATTTGATTAATTTTGTTTGGTCTTTCTTGAGTTTGGCCTCATTGGCTCAGTGGGCATTGTAACCTACAACTCTTGCACCAACCTTTGAACATAACAATGAAGCTGAATTACCGTTTTCATGGCTTACCTTGGTGTGGTTTGCAAAGTGCTTCAGAGAGATGAAGAAGTCTGTTTCTTGCACCCATCCTGATTTATTTCCACTACCAGTACTTCCTACTGGCCCATCTCTGACAAAGTGTTCTGCATAACGTATGCGTGGGAACACAAACATCGGAGGAATTGTGTTGCCAATGGCATTAACCGCATATACAAAGGTGACCAGTGAACCTCTCTGCTGATGTCATTACCCCAACTTGTTTAATATAAGTTAAAGTAATAGTGTGGTAAGTTGTAAAATCTGCATTATTGTTACAACTGACCCAGACTCCTATAGCCATGAACTAGCTAACATTACAGCCAACGGCTAAAACATTAGCACTAAAGACCTACACAGAATATATCCCCATAGACATACAAATAACATAATTTAAGTTTGATGAGTTCAACTGCAAAGCAGATAATGCTATTAGAAATTGAAATAAACTTGCTTTTTGGCATACAAATTACTTTTTTTCTTCTTAAATTCTCCGTGTTTGCCAAAATGTGCTAATTTTTCACATGTGATAGAAGAACTGAATTGGGCGTGTACATGATGAATCACATCATTTGAAACTTAGCCCTGACTGGAGAAATTGAAAGTGTTACAACTGACCGACGTTACAACTATCCCCGGTCTCCCCTATCTAATTTTGTGGATGAAATTATATGAGACATTTCACTGTTTCCTCTTATTAGCCTGTGTTTTTTCACTGGCAAGTTTGAAAAATTAAGCGTAGGCCTTGTCAAATTTGAGAAACACTGGAAGGGACTAACAGCCCTCCTTATCGGTAAGTCTGACAGCGTGAAAGCTTCCAAAGACGATGACGTTAGATTAGAGTTTAAGCGCAGATACGCTGAAGACACAAACGAAGTGATCGTAAAGTTGCGACATTTTTTAAAGAAATCTTTAAAGATTATTCATATTTTACAAAAAATATACCAAATGTAGGGAAAACTAACTTTCAGGATAAATATCATTTGATGATTTCTTTCTTTTTCCGTTTTTACTTTAATGACTGAGTAGGCGTAGGTTTTCAGAGGCAGAAATGTCATTAAATAACCAGAGCCGAAAAGGTTCCTGGGTTTAAATGTAACTCAGTGGTGTGAACATTGTAAAGTTAAAACGCTCAGCCTCGGCGTAGAGCCCTTCAAATGATTTCGTCGAGACTCTGCTGACCTCCAATGGCTTCTAGCGTACATTACAAGAGGGAGGGAAGACGTTTCCCACGTCCGCGAACAGAACAGAGACCAACGTGGGAGCAGCTAAGGGTTAAAATGTAATTGGTGTTGAAACTTTTATTCGTGATTAGCTTTCACTCAAACCTAGCCACTTGTTTTAAAGCAGAGCAGACTGTGAGACAGAGTTTGGTGATGGAGGGGATTTTTTTTTTTACTCTGGTCAGTAAGAGTAGATATCCTTACTGTGGTCATCTCGGGTGCGCAGTTCTTGTCATGAGCAGCTGCTTTTCAAGATTTTTGTTGGCAAGAGGCAACTATCAGAAAAAAGCAGTTGTCCTCCAAGGAACTTTTAGCAGACAGTGAGAGGACTGCATCGTGGTCCAGTTAAAATAAACAAGGATTATTTTGAACTGTGAATCATGCAAAGCTACTCTAGTAGAGTCTGGGAATAAAAATATGTCAGTGGAGATGAGCACAATTGCCCCCCTTTAAAGAGATCATTCCAGATATTTGTGTAAATGTATTTACAACACATAAGGTCAGAAGCATCACAGTTTTGATTCAGATTTTGCATTGAGTTTCCCAGGCCTTATCTTGTCTGTCTCTTTGCATTGGTAGCAAACAGAAGAAAATTATCATAATGGCGAAAGACTCCAGTGTTATCCCAAACATCAGAATCAGACAGCTAATGATGATCAGAACAAATAAACTTATCAACAAAGGAAGGAGATGTGTGTTTGGTTAATGATTTCTCTGTTGTAACAATGCTTCTTAGCAATCAGTTCTACACTGTTGGAAAACCTGTTTATTTCCTTAAATGGTGCCACATTTGTAAGTACAATGAATTTGTGGGTTTTGTCCGTTAAAAACTTGACAAATCTTCTCTGTCATTGCTAAACAGCTTATTCTGTTGTTGACGACAATCAGGTGATTAGCATCTGATTAGCAACACCTGTGAGTATGGATCCTGCCACAGTATCAGTTGGTGTTTGTTCTGATAAGTGTTGGTTCTGAGCATATTATGTTTGATATGGTCTACACCATGGGGCAACTTCAAGCCAGTGTTTCACAAAACCAAGTTTCAGCATTTTCTGGTACCATCTTGAGACTGAAGGCCACGTTTCATTTAACAGGAGATGTCAGAGACAGACGGACCAGACGATCTGGAACAGACTGCACACAGTCAATCTCCAGGCTCATAGGCCTGCCAGGAGACCTGCCATGACTGTCCTTCACTGTTAGGTCCATTTGTGGTGGACCTTGTGAAACTTGAGCTTGTGGAGGAATGTTATGTTCAGTGATGAGTCCTAATTCTGTTTACAGCGGTTGGATAATCAGGTAGTATGGAGAAGATCCGGAGAACGCTATGCTGATTGCTGCACTGATAGGGTAACAGCTTTTCGTTAGGCAGCGTGATGATGTGGAGCAGCATCTCCCTCACTAAAAAAAAAACCAAGGCTTATCATCACTGGAGATGATCTCAATGCCGCGAGATGAGATTCTACAATCAGTGTCAGTCTCATATCTCCACAGTCTGTAAACAAACTCTGTCCTCCAGGATGACAATGCTTACCCCCACAGATTGGGGTTTATCAGAGACTACCTCCAGAATTTTGAAGTGCCCGCCTGCAGTCCTGACCTCAACCTTATTGAACACTTTTGACCAAACACCAATTCCTTTGTTTTGTGCTTAGTTTGTTTAGTCTCGGTTGTCTGGCTTCCATATACATTGATAAACTATGCTAATGGAAGTTACTGTTCTGAAAATACTGAATATTGCCCCCTTAGTCTTGTTGATTTAATGATTTATTGATAGTAACTATTGCAATGGCAGGTCTCTGTAAGGTCACAAGTGTTGTTCGCAGGATCCTATATGCTTCAGTTCAAAATAGATCCTAATAAAAACCTGCCCATATCTGTGCTCCCTTTAAATCATTTTTTTTTTAAATTCTTTTTTTTAATTTAGAATTTACCACAAACAAAAATATACATTTTTTTTGATAAGGAACATAAAGTAAGACACAACCTATAAAAACACAAGTAAACAAACAGGTGTACCATCTAGTTAACACACACACACACATACATATATATATATATCTATCTAGCTATATAGCAGTTCAAAAATATGACATACATGATTACAGAGGTTCAAACAAATTCGGGTCGCCTTGACAAAATGTAATGTTTCCATTTGTCCCAAATCTCAACAAATGTGTCATACTGAAATCTGTGAGAGAAGGTAATTTTTTACATTTTAAACAACCCATAGACCGTCTCGTGCCAGTCATTTAGTGATGGAATTTTCACACTTAGCCATTTCTGAGTGATAGTCTTTCGGGCAGCCAGACTCAAAATGCCATATAACAGCTTGGTCACTTTATCCACATTTACTGAGTATAAAAATCCGTATTGCTTAACTGGTATTGATCTTTTACTGATTGGAAGTCCCTAAGAGTTCCCTTATTGTAAAACATACAGTATGCCGTTAAGCCTTGCCCTACCCAGTTTTTATATCTCGCATCTATCTTATTGGGTAAAAAAAATCAAGATCATAAGAGCACCATCTTAAGATCCTGGTCTCTTCATTCCAATCATTCTTGTTAAGAAATTGTAACCAAAGCTTTAAAGGCAAGTTAATCCATTGGTTTCCTTGATTAATTTGTTTTTTAATAAGTGTCACATCCCCTAAGTTTGCCTGAATTGGAAAATCTCTTGAGGCAACTATTTCTATTTCTTTCCATCTTGCTTGGTAGTCTACATTGCACCAACACACTCGGGTCCTCAGTTGAGCTGAAACATAGTAATCTTTCAAACATGGGAACCCCAACCCCCCTTTATCTTTATAGCCAGCTAGTTTGGTACT